CCCCCAACAGTTGAGCCAATCGTACGGCCAGTCGTGCGCTCGACAGCCCTTCCAAACGCTCGCTCACTGTCCCCTTACGTCACACACTCTCTCCCCCACACACACTGTCTGTCACTAATTACCGGCCGATCCACTCCCCTAACCCTTAGCCCCCTTTCAGTGGTTTGTATTACTTTTCTATGGCACTCACCCTTTATTATGTAATGAGTTTTCCCTACCATTTATGATACGATATCTATGAAAAGTTTAATAAATAAATTTTTCTAAAAACAAATTGCATTAAATATTACATAAAATATGTTTCAATGGATTTATTTCAAGTCTCATTGGAAAGCATTAAGCGATTAGTATTTGGGGACAAAAATACTCTAATTATAGTATTTATGTCATAAAACTTGGATCCATTCATATATTTCGCTAACTATTGATTAGTGTTAACACAACCCCTCTGTCTCTATCCAAATGCTATTACAATGGCATTGAATGTGTTTATGAGTAAAACCCCTGTTATATGTAGTTTATGAATGATTGCAAACCATATGATTTGCAATTGAAATGCATTTGATTTTTGTTTTGAAAGCGATTTAAAAGATTAAAAACAAAATTAAAGGCAATTTGTAAACAACACGACAATCGACTGCTAATAATGTCTCAATTGATGCACAAATTGAATCGACTCTTGTGTCCAGTCGTTGACAATGGTCTCAAAATGAATGGTAAGTCTTCGCCGACACTATATTAACGTGTTTTGCGGCCATCGGTTAATAAAAGCTGTGTTTTCGTGTCTTTCAGTCACATTCACCGCAAACATACTGTCCGTCCGCTACCGGAAAGCCTTAGTTCCGCGCAAACACGTGGAGCCGGACTTCCGGCGCAAACAAATGCTGGCCGTCTGTGAGCCCATCTTCGCGGCCGACAAACGGCTGCCGTCTGAGAGATGTTATAATCTTGAGCCGAAACGCGAGCGCGAAGTCCATCCGTGGGATCGGCTATTGGCCGAAGACATGAAACGCGAGCTGCGGACGTCTCGTATGATCTGTTTCTTCCACCAAAACGTGATGACGAATAGGGAGAAGAAGTTGTGCGCCAATAGCTACCAACACGAGCACATGTATCTCCGGTACTATAACCCCGATATCGCGCAGTTGGCTATGAGTGACACCAAATGGGCGCCGGCTCTACACCTGTGCAGCGAACGGGCCGTAACAGTGCTCTTCTCGGATGAGCCCCGAGTGGCAAAGATGTTGAAAGTGACCAAAAAGTGTCCGCAACTCATACTTATGGCCGCCATTATCGACGACCGCTTCCTCAGCGTCGCGGATATCAAAGATTATAACCGTTTGCCTCATTTGCAGACATTGAGGGCCCAGTTGTCGCACACGCTGTCGATGGCCACCAGATCCGTGTCCGATAAGGCATTCACGCCAATCATTAGTCTCACGAATAGTATTGATTCGTATATTAGAGACAAAAATAAGTGATTTTTTATACAAATTGTGTTTTGTTTCATAAATCGAAAGCATTTTTTATTTTCAAAGCAAATAATAATCAATTCTGTAGTCATTAATAATTAATAATAATAATTAAAAGTCATATTAAAAACAATTATTTAAAACCGATATTTGCATTACTATTACAACTAATATTTTGTCCTAAATGTACAATCAATTGATTTCTCAAATCCTGAAGATTTAGTGGTCAATCACTGAGAGATATATATAAAGAGAGAGACAAACGTTTTTAATGTTATATCAATACTTGCAGTGCTATTCAAATATCAAATAACTTGTATCATAACGAGCGCTAAAGTGAATGGAATGTCATATAAATTGTAATAAAAAACTTAAAAATTAACAAAAACTGATCACAAGTTCACATATTGTACGCCACATAAATCGGGTCCAATTGGTCTGCGGGTAGACATTGAGAGACAATTAGTACAGATATAGAGGGCATGAATGCGAGTACCCACCGATGGGGCGGTCATGGAAATTACCTGCGAGGAAGCCGTCGCGCAAATGCATCCGTTGTTTCTCTCCCCTCGAGTTTATGGGAACCACTCCGGGATCGACCACTACTACAACGCCTACGATTAGGTGGTGTTCCTCTAATACAACGTTAGTTACTAATGGAACCAAATCTAAAGCCTCGTTCTCATTGCCGTCCAATTCGACGACCACTACCAGTAGGTTAGTCCACGTGAACACAGCTCTGGAAGGGAATGGGAGGCAAAGCGACAGCCCGTTAGTTATGCTCTCAATCGATGGCTTTCTTTGTGGCAAATGTTTGCGTAAACAATACTAACGATTCGGAGATTTTCTTATGAGATCGCATAACACTGTTCTCGATGTCGATGGGATGGTATCGAAGACCTCTTAATGTAATCGTTTCGTCCAAAGAGCCCACTATGAAGATGGCGTCGTGTAGTTCTGCACACAATCACAGGGAATACCATTCATTTAGCTATTGAATCAAACATTTGCTGAGATGGTAGGCATACCTCCATCGGCCTGAACCGACTCCGTGCGCCTCAAGAACCCCAAATAGCCGGTCCGGGCGTACGACTGAGTGGCGTCACCGGTGATGAGTCTGGCGTTGAAGTGGTCGTTGTGTAGGGAGTCGTCGCCATATATCGTGAAATACCCGCTCGAGTTGTGCTGCGATTGCACCCAAACCTGCGGACAATACACCGGAGAGTTAGTGTGAAAGAAATGGTGGTTTCGATGCGAGGCATACCTCTCCCAGGTTGGAGTCGCCGCAGTGGCCTTTGGTCTCAGGGTTGGCGATCACCACTTTAACGCCTGGCAGTAGTTTCCCGGACTCAGTGAGACACAGACTATGAGGTGCGCCGCGCTCTACGAGTGTTACCCTGTCATTGCGTAGGGCGCGGGTGTCCACGTAAACGGTGGTCGGGTCGGGACTGGAGGCGCCCTGCAGGCAGAGGGCGACGTTGACCCGACACCCGAACGACGTGCTGACCGCACGGGCCGATAGGCCGAGACTTTGAAACAGTTTGGAGAACGAGTTCGTGAGCGCCACCCGCGGCCTCTCCTCCGCCACCACAACACACGTGCGAACACAACTCAGGTTTACGCCACGTTGCTATAGGGTTAGGGGTTAGGGCACAGACATCGCAATTAGTATACAGTATGAGTGTATTGCAAGGGAAAGGCATACAAACCTTCATTTGTTGAACTGAAGAGCCCAGGCCTTTGGTGCAGAGCTCCATAACCCCATACGAACAGAAAGTATCCCTCACTTTGTACTGCGAGACAACACTGAGCCATAGGCTGGGGTTGAGTTCCACCTCCGAGGGCGGGATCAGAATGGAGTGATGACCAGAATAGACACTATTGAGACACCACAACACGAACCCCAGACCACAGTACGGGTCCAGACAGAGGGCCACGTGTCGCGAGGGGTAGAGCTCGCACGCCAGCTTCATGGAGCGGCACAGGGAGGCGGCCGCCGCGTGAGACACCTTAATACCGGCCAACATCCCGGTGGTCGACACACTGAAGTCCAGGTACGCTATCATTTCGGGTGTCGGCGCCCTATAAAGGCTCGTCAGCTTCTTCTTCGGCAAGTCGTCGGTGTCGAGGGTTTGGGGCCAACCCTTGACGTCCACTACATTCCCGGCCTCTTTGGAGCGCAACAGTTTGATGACAGGCTGAGTGGACAGTATGAGCACCGACTTCGACACGTCGACAATCATGCGGACCGTCGGTAGTGTCGTCTGCAGGTTCTGCGGATGGGGCGGTCGTATTGTGACGGGAACTACACCTATGAATAGACAGCCGTAGAAGGCGGCGATCAGATCGATGCCGGGCGAGTAGATGAGCGCCACGTGATCGCCGGTATTCAACTTCCCGCGCTCTAACAGAAGACAGGCCACCCGTTCCGCCCGTTTGTGGAGTTGCGAACAGGAAAGGGTCGCCGTTTCGGTGCCCTTCGAGTTCAACAGTGTGTAGATGTTATGGTCGGGCGATGTGGACGACCGCCACTTGAGTATCTCCGATATGAACTGATACTTGCGAGTCGTGTCCGAGTCCTCGTCGATGGAGCCGACGTCCCGGCCCTGGGCTATGGCCAGCCGTACGCCCTGAACGATGTTGCCAACCATGACAGAGGCCGGCCCTATCTCTGTGTGCACTTCGCGCGGTTTCGGCAGATTCGTGACACACGTGTGCGGACACATGAGCACATTGGCCGGGTGTAGGGCGCCCTCGAGGTACCGGCGCTTCACTTCCGACAAATGGATGCCACCCAACGGTGTTTTGGGCAAACAGTTGGGCGGCACTAATGCCAGGCAGTAGATCCCCACCTGATGTATGCTATCGACCGCCTGAAGCACGCGTGACATCCATTGGAAGGACTCCTCTTCCGTACAGTCGGGCCTCTGCTCTGCGATCACACAAATCCTTTCGTCTCTCAGCACTCGTATGGAAAAGATGGCGATCCGTCCCCTGTAGACGAACTTCATGGGCTCGACGGCCAACACAGTGGCGATGAGGTCGTCGGTGTTGTGCTTACGGGCCGACACGTTCATCACACCGTCGCGGGTGCCGCACACGAACACCAGAGCGCCCGGTCCCATGAAACCCAACAGTCCTGTCCTCACGAATGTCTGTTCACTGAAGGGTCTGCCGTCCGAGTTGAGCGGTTGCATACGGAATATGCTATTCGTGAGCCCCTGGAGACCCCAGTAACAGGAGCCGGCGGCAGTGGTGGACAGACAGATCTCCCCGACCTCATCCGTTTTACACAGAATGGGTGCGCCGTTTATTTTGACCACCGCTGCGATTGCTGTCAATCATTGAAATGAATTTATTTTAGATTTTGTTTTGTTTTTGAATTCATTAGTTTTGTGCGGAAAACATACCTCCGGGTAAGACATGTCCGCAGTCTTGTAACGTGAGTGACGTTAGGCTGTTCTCCTGATCCACACGAATCACGCCATAACTGAGCGCCGACATCGAGAGTACTCCCCTCCCAGTAGATCCCACGCCAGTCCGTCCCGGTCTGAGAAATCATTGCAAATGTTATCAACATTTTGTAAATCAAACCAAAAATCTTAAAATAATTTGTGTTAAAAGTGACAAAAACTCAAACAAATGATGCGGACATACCTTCTGACAGATATAGTGAGCGCTTCTGCGGAAACAGCACAGGGACACATGGCCTCCACTCTCAACCCTCGGCTGTGGAATACATTGAGGAACTGATCGCACGATGACAGCGACCAGGGGTTGGAGCCGTCGGCCACCAAAAGCATCCGCAATGAACTCAAATTGACGTCTTTGTGGTCTTTGGTGGCCAATAGACCCCAATGGAGATCACGTGACTTACAGATGGCTACCGACGCCTTGAATTTGGTGATGACGAGCATCCAAGAGGCCGGGTTTATCTTCATGAGAGCGTACGGTATGAATATGACGTGCATTCCGTTGAGGACTGAGCACAGTATGGAATGCCATAACCCGACCTCCCGTTTGAAGTCCAACACACAGATCATGATCTCTCCCTCCGTGTAATTACAGGCGCCGGTGAGGGCTCGGCAGTGCGATATCATGGCGTTTCGGGACACAGATACGCCCTTCATTGAGCCATCCCTGTCCACTGTGTACTCGATATAAGCGGCCGCCTCTTCCGAGATTCTCGAGGGCGGCGACCAGTCTTTGGGCGGTTTGCTTAGGGTATCGATGATAAGCCAACTCAGTTTAGGCCAACCCTTAAACGTGTGTATCTCTCCGGTGGCTGTTTTGGGGAAACCCTTATTGCAGGCCTCGGATGTCAGTGCGAACGCCACGTTACAACTGCCCAATAGAAAGCCAATCTGTTGGGAACCGGCGTCTCGTCGAGTGAGCGGTACTTCGATGGGCACCGGGACTACACCGGCCGTCAAACAGCCATAGTATGCGCACATGAAGCCGATGGGGTCGTTGTTGGGGAACACCAGCGCCACGCGATCGCCCGGTTTTATACTGAGTTCCCCTTTCTGTCCGATTTTGTTCAACAGATTGTACGCTATTTTGCGCGAACGGGACAGTAGTTTGCCGTACGTTAGGGGAGGACTCATCTTACTGTTGGTGTCCAACACTGTGGCGGCCGGCGCTTTGAACGTAGCCGAGCCGTACCGGTGGAGCGCCGCCTCCAACGTCTTGGGCAGCCCTCCCGGAACCATCAGTTGCTCCCCAATGGATGGCAACATTGTGCTGCCCTCCGGTTTGGGCGCCTGTGGGTCCAACTGATTGGCCGCTATTTCCAGATCTGTCTCATCGTCGATGTAAAAGTCCGGAAGGGGTCGACGTTTAGGCCTTTTCAGTGTGTTTAACAACTGCTGTATTTTGGCCGACACTTTCCAACGTCCGGTTCCCGTTCCGGTGCTGTATGTGTCGAGTCCTGTGTGTTGACACACATAATGAGTTTAGTTATAGAAAAATATGTGTAGAATATAATGAACACTAATATTAATAACAAATATAGGCCTTACCGGACAGCGAATCCATGTCCCTATCCATAGCTATCCTGCTGTCCCGATGCGACTGAGCGTTGGACGTGACATCCGGCTGAGCGTTATAAGTCTGAGATGGGGTCAGATTCTGCATGACATCGGCCAAGTTGGCGATACCGGTGTCCGATCGGGAGCTGATCCGTTCGGGTCGAGTGGGCGGACAGGCGTTGTTGGCGTACTCATTGCTATTGGAATTGCCGTTCACTCCGGCGGTGATCACAGAATTAACGCCAGAATTGAGTCCGGAATTGAGAAGCGAATTAATCTGCGAAATGTTGTTATTATGGGAACTATTCTGTGAATTGTTTTGCGAATTGAGTTGAGAGTTGAGCCGAGAGTTGATGAGCTGTTGTCTAAGTATCTGCTGCTGGTGTGGAGGTAATGGCGGCTGCGAGTGATGACTACTGTGATGGGACTGGCGTTCATTGTGATGCTCCCGTTCCCTTTCCCGTTGCTCGCGCTGTTGTTCCCGTTGTCGGCGGTGATTGTGTCGGTGCTGGTTGTGACTGATCTGTTGTGCCATTAGTACGGCAGCGCTGGTGCTGTTGACGAGTACGGCGTTACTGTTGTTGTGCTCCTGAACGGCGATAATCCTGGGCGGAGGCGCCACCATCTCGTGCGCCGGTGACGACGTGTTGGACGTGTCGGACGAGTCGACGGACTGGCCCACAGAGAACGGTCGCGAACTGTTGTTACGGTTGTTGTTGTGGTGATGGTTGTCGTGCTCGGGGGTAGTGCTGGAGCTGTCGTTTAGGATACTGTCGTCGTCGGAGGACGAGTCGGTGGCCCGTTTGCGGTCGGGTCGGGAGGGAGAGGTGGCCATAACGGACGTCCGCTTCGACGGCATCGGCATCGATGGCTTCGGTTTCTAATCGCAAATACATTTGTCGTTAACTTTTATGACTAACATATTGGCCATAAATGCGGCGATAGTTAGCCATACCTTTTGCATAGCAGCCAAAGCTTGTTGTACGGCCTCCTGTCTCACCTCTGCGTTCATTAATAATTATAATGAGTTTAATTTGAATTAATGTTTTATTTACTTAAAAACTTGTCATTTGTTTGTTTACTTTCTAATCAAATAATTAAATCTTTTATCTCATAAGCGTTTAATGCAATGATAAGAAAATCTGAATATGAATAGCATTTCCCATATTTTTTACCCTAAATTGCAATCTTAATGTTTTAATGGCTTTATGTATAATTTGTATAAAATTATGTATAACTTTTGTTTTTTAGTTTCACTGAATATTCAACTAAAAATGTGTTTTTAATAAAATTTTCACCAAGAAAAAAATTATGAAAAACCAATGAAAGGCCATAAAAACTCAATTAATACTCATATTTATGAAATCAAATCATAGAAAGTCATTAAAACTAAACTAATTTTCAGTGCATTTTCATCGGTTTAATGACTTTTCTCTAATCATTTCTCAGATCATTAGTCGCGGAGAATAGAAATAAAAGCCGAAAGACTTTTCGTTAACTTAACTGTCGGTTAAACCCATAAATTCAAACATATCTTTCAGACAACTTTAATATATGTGTGAGAATTGTTTGCAAACGCTTTTATATCGCATATAAAAAACCGGTCTTCAAATTGTATACAAATAATGGGACAAAATATGCTAATTATATACGAGTACTGTGTTTAATACCTAACAAAAGCGTATAAACAAAACGGGATTAAATGTATTGTATTTCATACCGGAATGGTATCGGCTTTCATGTCGGGTTAGCCTCCTGTGAGCTCTTCTCTTCGCACGTGTGGAAGGACTGGCAGCGCCTGTATTCGCAAGATATCACATATAAGTCATCAATTCATTCAATCATTCATTACAATACGGAATATAATGACAGAATATTTTTGCCAAACACTACAACACTATCTCTTGTACTGTATATACGGCTCAATACCAACGGGAGATGACATGTGTTGTCAACGGATTGCCAATACATATAGTATTGGGTATTCGGAGTCAATATGTGGCAAAATATTTGTCATAAAAATTGGAAACCAATGTTTGTCACGAAAATAAAGCCATAAATACCTGACTGATGGCTGACTGTCACATATGGAGCCAATAATCGCGACTTTTTCTTCTCGTATCCCTTCTGTGTTATATCGCCTTTAATTCAATGGAAAAATGAGTTTTTCATTAATAACTATTAAATACAGTGTTTGGACAGTCATTTACGCCAAACTATAGCTCAGTTTGAAAGAAATAATAAGCGAAAAAGAGTCAGACAATTGTGAGTATAATAAAAAGCAATAGGAGTTCGTCTACACGTATATAATAAACCAATTGTTAGACACAAAAACGAAGTGACAATTAAAATGAGTCGTTTTATCGCTACAAAAATAAAGCATTAATTTCTCATTTCTATAAACAGATTGTTTGCACTGCGAATGAGTCACCGAAAAAATCTCGACATTTGGACAAAAATTATTATAATTCAATAATTTTGTCGATCATATGATTGCAAAACTAGAGCCTGTCTTAAGGCACAGCACTTTTTCTGACACTTATTATTGAATTATTCAAACCATTTGAACGAATATTACAATTCTGTCGACAGGTTTGGAGATAGCGATTGCATTGACAGCAATAGGAATACATTGTTTGCCGTATTATTACTGTATTATTGTATTTGTTGTTTAGGTGTTAAACAAACTCTTTTATCTGTGATTTTGATTGAATAAACAGAATATGAGAGAAGTTTTCTCTCCAAATACAATACAGTATAAGTTAGTCTAGTATTGTATGAATTGAGTTGTGTTTGAAACATAAAATTATCGTCAAAATAGAGCAGAAAAATGTTTTTTAAAGCAAATATTAATATAAAAATCTTTTCGTCAAACAATAGTTGAATTTTATTTGATTGCAAAATAGGTGTCGAGTTATGTTAGGCAGAGGTTGTATGCGTCGAGGGCTTTGAGGGCATGTCTACTATGATAACAAACCTGTGAACACGAGTAGGTCTTCCTCTGAAGTGGTTGAGTCGAACTCATCGGACGACGAGTGAAGCGAAGACAGCACTTCCGCTGAAGAGGTGTCGGATGAGGTGTTGTCGCGACCACATAGGGTCACATCAGTCGACTTACTGGCCATTAATGCCTGCCATACATGGGCTGGGAGGGCACCGCCACCACCGGCCCAGATGTGCTCCAGATGTTGACGATGAGGGCGACTGTCCTTCAGAGCGCCGTTCGTTGCGCTCTTCGTAGTAACAGTGGATCTCTTAACAGGAGATCCTTTGTCAGCAGATATGACACGAGATTTGTTGAAAAAATGGTAGTTATTATCATTAGAGTAGTGAATATGCGATGAATCGGCGGAATTGTAATCATTATTATTGTTAATTTTGTGTTCATGTCTTCGGTGGTGCTGTGCATGTGATGAGCCATTGATCACCTCTTTTGGCGGATTTGATGGTCGATACCATTGGTGAGACTGTCTTTGTTTTGACGATTCATTATTAATAGACGTGTGTTTGGGATGTAATTGAGTCGAGCGAACAGAGCGTTGGACTTCCGATGACTGACAGTATATGGCATTGCGATTGATATCACTTTCAGTGAATCGGAGATTCATTTTTGCTCTTTTTGTCTCAATTATTATGCTTTTGTCGACCCGTAATGAATGTCAGGGAATGCCATTTAACTCATTAGTACAACAAAAAGCATTTCATTTCATTACACAATACTATTAACTCTTATGTATGTCTGAGACACAGGAATATTGAACGAGTGATGGGAACGACAGAAAACTTCACACAAAAAGAAACCTTTTTTCAGTCGATATCTCTCATCATTTTGAAGACAATTTTAGCACTTTTTGGCTGTTTATATAAATGAGGAGTAGAGTGAGTAGTGTGTGAGTAGAGGGATGGGAATGGGATGCAAAACACACACTGGTCTCTACGAGTGGGGATGAGTCTCCTCTTTATGGCAGTGCATTAGGACTGACACACAAATTGTTTTAACAAACCATTAGACGATTGACTTCAAGTTTGTCTCGGAGTTTATAATTAAAGTTAAAAAACACTTATTTTTCTTTTTGGAAGTCAATCACTACTTCCAGAGAAGAGTTACTTTAATTTTTTGTCACAAATCACGATCTCATTCAACGAGTGATAATTCATTTGACGCAATGATTTGTTTCCTTATTTCTTACACCATAAATGGTTTGAATAATAAAAATAATGCCAAAAACTGAACGGACGAAACGATTTATGCATACATTTGATAGCATTCACGTTCATTGCACTCCAATTGCACTCCAATTATTCCGATATATTATAGTGGACTTGAAATTGGGTTATGAATGGCGAGTGTGTGTAGAGAGGAGTACTTATTATAATCGCTCGGATTTCTACCTCAAACATAAATTATCGCAAACTTTTTTGCCATAACTACTCATAACTGTTTAATACATAAATCAAATCAAAAATCATCGACTAATACATTATGTATTTTTGGTTGAAACAGATTTTTATTTAGCGAAATAATGTTAAAAAAGCGATTTGTAAACACATTCACAGATGAACTTATGCATAGAATTGACTCTATTTTTATCCATAAGAGTTAACTCACAATCGATGTGTAGTTAACACAACACACACGAGGAATAGACAGGAAAACAGAGAATCAAAAAACTTTAAAATAAACTAAAACTCAAACCGAAAGAAAACTTTTTCTCACTCCAAATGATTATAAACTGCAAACTCATAGTCTATGGTATCGTTTATTATTATTATTATTCAACTCATGCTTTAAATGCGAACGAATTAAATGCGGAGCAAAACCTTAGAGAGAGACAGACAGACAGACATACAGTCAGTATAAGAGTTAATACTCGGGGATGGATTGGGAACCGACATCCAAGAGTGTGTAGGAAAGGAAGTACAACAAACCGCCCACAATGTTATGGGAGGTTTGGTTATGTGAGTGCTTTTGAGAGGCACAGGAAAAGTCCAATTCTGTGCACGACTTTCCCAAAAGGGAATGTCAGTCAACTGTTTCTCCAGAAAGACTTAAGAAAGTTTGCATTCAATCAATGTTTATAGCATTCAATCGTATAAATTGTTTTGAATTAATAGAAATTAGAACTCTCTCTCTCTCTCTCTCTCTCTGCCCATTCATTTCCATCCATCCAGTTGTGTCAATACAGATCGAGATATCATTCAATTTCATAAATATATTAATTAGGTATCGGAAGTCCAACACAAATGAGACATTTATCAGCAGAATATCGATGATTGTGAGCACCAAATGGAGCCATCAATGAGTGACAACACAGATATGGAGTGTCTGTCCTCTCGAAACCTAACCGTCAGTGCAGTATATCTTAGAAAACAAATGATAGAGTAGTATATCTGTATCAACACATGAGAGAGTGGAGTGAGAGGGGAATGATTACTGATATAATGAACTACTGTTACTGAGAACTACTTATTTGAGTTTGAGTTCATAAGTTAATGCATTTAAGGCAACGATCACTCGAGTGGCAAAAAACACTGAGAAATGCAGTTTAGGGACAATAGCCGCAAACCATTGACAATAAAAAGGGAAAATTATGTATAAAAACGCTTTTAAAGTATTTGAAACCATGAATAGAGACACACCCGACCCGCCACCACATACCAGAGCATTATTCATAAATAGTATCGTTAATAGTCTCAAAAAATGTAAATTTGAGTCAAAATTAGATTTAATTGCAATTTTATTCAGATTACGAGAGCCAGAGACACAAATACTAACCATTATATTGTATGAATAAAATATATCCCTTTGAAACGAAATTCATTATTTAAATTTCAAACTAATATTTAAACTAAATATTGTGTACAAAGGGTTAGATATACTACAGATACCGATAATGAGTGCAATTCATTAATAGGGAATAAATTGCAATCAAATTAAAAATAGTGCCTTAATTGAGGTCAAGGCGGTCATGAAAAAGCAATCCCTATCCACCACTCCATCCCTTTTCCAATCAGTCAAACAATTCGTACAATTTGTTCAGACTTTTAAATTCTGTGTCAATAATTGATTGCAAACTTTTCCACATTTAGTGATGAATTTCATTAAGCATTAAGTATAGGGAGAAAGAGATGATTGAATTTGAAGCACTCAAAAAACACTACAGAAATAAATGCATTTTAAAAATCCAATTACGATAAATAGCATTACGTTTTGAAATCCCGTAATTGATTCAATTTAATAGCCAATTGCCAGTCAACGATATGTATCAAAAAGTGTACCGCTTTTCATAAACAAAAAACAATTTATTGTTACATAAAATGTTATGTAATTTTATTGTAAACTTTTATTACATGTTCTGTTTCTCAATGACTTTGAATACTAATTTCATATTTCAAAAACAATTTTCCAATCATTTCAATGATACGCTCCCAAAGTGTATACAAAATGAACCAAAAATATAATTATTACAAATCATAGCTCAATCATCGATGATATCATACTTTGACAACATTTCTATTTTTCTAATTAAATGCATTTTAAAGCGAAATAACATGAGAAATACACTTTAAAAGGAAAAAACCTAACAAAAAACTCAAACAAATCTTGAAATACATGTTCAAATATTAAGAAAAATGAATGGATTTAAGTTTATTGTGTAATACAAAAAGCTTAAAATAATACAAATTGAAAGACGTTAGCATTAAATCAATGTTTTGAGACACAATGTCTTCGCTCATTATGTATGGATAAGAAGTGAGTATAAAATAAAATACATAATAGTTTATAGCGATTGTGAAGCCGGACTCACACACCGGTAGTCAAACAGGTATTGAAATGAATGGTAAATGTTGTGAACCTATTGACAACTGCAGTATATAAAGGAAAAGGCATTAAACATAAGAGGCATTGAATTGGGATACAAGTGCTGCGAGGAACTGGTGATTCATCCACCAAAGATTTCTCCGCAAATTATATTTTTATTTTTTATAACTCCTCGCGAATACGAGTCATGTATTTGTATTTAGCAGTCAATTGAAAGACAATCTTAAAGTCCGGACCTAATATGCAGTGTCTGTATAACCCGTAGTATTGACTAACCATTGAGTGTTTACTTTGTTTCTTAGCATTTAATATAAATATTTAGTATTTAGAGACGTTTTCATAAACAGTCAAATAATGATGAGATAAATAATGCAATCATTTGCTATCAAATGCTTTTTAATTCCCTCTCATATGGTTTGCCACGAATAATGAACACATATTTTACTAGTTTATAGTCATTTCAATAACTCAATAAAGGCTCGCATTGTATGCATAATAGTGTATTCAATACGTGTTTTCAATACTATTGTCTATTTATTTGGATATTTTCGGATGAAAAGCATTTTATGAATTTTGAAATATGGTTTTATACAATTATAGCCGTATATCCATTTCGCACTAGTATTCAAAATGTTTGATATTAAGTTTATATTTGGGAAAAACATATTGGAGTTTAAGGAAGTGTTTTAAATAAATTAATATTAATTTTGACAATAAAAACAACATTTGAAACACAAATATAATGCCATAAATGTAATTGACATGATTTTCGGTGGCAATTAAGGGTGTATTGAAATTTATTCAATAAATATTCATTCAAATCAATTAGTTTTAAGCCATAAATACATTGATTTGTATAAATAAATTGAATTAAAAATCACGACTTTTTCAGTCAATTGAGTGTTGAATGAAAACTAAGTTTTAATACAAATATAATTCAATTACTTAATTGTCGGCAGATTTTTGAGACTCATTTGCAGCGGACTTATCGTACAAAACAAAACACAATTAAAAAACTAATTAATAAATTAAATGTATTTCTCATTGAATTCAAAGACAATTGTCTGCGAAGTGTGTGATAAGACATATGAAGACAAACACAATACACAAGACATCTGACAATCAATTGAATGGTTAAACATATGATAGCGTTAGAGATAATGAGTGGTAAAGAGTTGATCCATACCTTCGGACAATTCGAGCTCAAGTTCGGCCAACTTTTCCCGGATATCAGTGGGAAGTGTCGAGACATCGATTCCCAACTCGAGAGTCATTTTAGACATTATCTTGTGGTCGGTTGTCGTGATATTAGGGGTGATATCAAATCAAATACAACATCAATACCATGATTGACATAATAAAAACAACTTGGATTGCATTCAATGGTCACAAATGGGTGATAGTCTTGTGTCCATCGGGTGTCTGACAGTGAGTGTCATCGACTGGATCGGCATCTCATGGACACAATCGGCTGGAAGTGATTGCGCGATGATATGAGCACCTCTTCACTATCACATTTGGTGGCGATATCATCGACACGCATACGATCACTAAGTCTTCAGCGGTGTGTCAATGGATGCATGGATTGAATGCATGAATCAAACGATGAAAACAACAATAATTGACATAAACTTCAAATCAATCGTCAAATGAATGCACAGTTTGTATGGAAAGCGGTGTCAATACATGGGCTGTGAATGCAATGCAATGCAAATCACATACAATTGTCTCATAAGAAGTGCACACATTTGGTGTGAAACATGTTGTGATCGGTGTGATTGTCAC